TTTAGGGGTTCCGGTAATATAGTCAGGTTAACTCTCGACTCACACTCGAGAATTCCGGGTTCGAATCCCGGGCGGGACAGAAATAATTGGGCTCATTTTCTATCACCTAATGCCCCAAACGGCTATCCACAAAGCTATTATATCCATATTAGCATTATACATGTAAAACTCGGACAATACATGTTTAAATTATCATGACCGCATTTCCTTAGTAACATTCATGATATCCTGCAATCATTTCATAGTATGAATGGGGTTATTTTTCATGGGTCAAGGTGCATTCCATTATATCCATATATGGATCATACATGAAAACCCAAGACAGTTTAAATTGTCACATGATAAATTGCATTTCACAGCAAATCAACAATTGATGATGACTGCTACCTAGGGGTTTATAAAATACCAACATTTATTAAATTTCAACTAAAATCTAGTAACCAGCATACTCTATTTTAATAATGTAATCATGTAATTTCATTATGTGCAGATAAATTTTTGCAGATACAGTATAAGAAATAAACAACAGCTCTTGCAGTTGGAAACTCTTTAATTTTTAAATATAAATTTTTAAATAGTGAATAACTATTAAGCCTAGTTATACAATTCTGGTTATTAGGTGGAATTTTATACCAATATACAGTATATATTTACTGTATATATAATTACTATGCACAAAACGTAAGGGCAAATAATGACACTTATTAGCACAAATGGTACTTGAACAAAATGTGGGTGAACCAAATACCTAATCAATTCAGAGTGTAAAATTTTAATGTCGGTAGAAATGGAATGCACTAAGTAGTGTAGGCAGATTCCATACACAATTTATAATGTAGAAATGATAAGAGATGACAACTAGTAGAGCTGGTCGAGTGGACGTAAAGAGGCAGGTTCAAAGAGCAAAAGCTCAACCCCCCTACAAGCACAATTAGGTGAGTATACACACTTCAAGGTGTAACAGATTTATACCTGTAAACTCCATTCAAAACTATTTTTTTGTACAAATTCAAGATGTCCTCAAATATGACATTGTCTGCATTGGCTATCTTCATGGAAATACAGTATAGTACATATTGGGCCAATATGCAGCATATTAAACAAAAACAACAACAATGGTGAAAGCATACATATTACACTCAAACATTTTCTTTAATGGTACTATTTACAGGCCCTTTCTAGTTAAATTTTCTTTACATTAATATACTACATATCCTTATTCAGCTCTCAAAGCTCTTGATGTATTATGAAGAGCATAAAGCCATACTGGAGTGCCTGATAGAAATCTTGAGAACTATTACAACTGTTGAGAAAGTTGTGAAGTCCCTTTACAACATTAATCAGGGCACATGCAGTACTAGGTTGATACCTGGATGAGTCTTTAGTTGAGACTAGTTGATACTAGTCTTTGGAAATGTTAAGAAGTAAATGCAAAATACACGAGGCACAATTATTTATCTTAAAAGTTCCTTGCTGTGCGCTGTGTATAAAAATCCGATATGAACATGCTTGCATGCAAGCACATACAATACTGTACATGTCGTAGCTCTCATCCTGTAACTACACTTAGGTAATTACATGTGTGTGCACATGTATACATATAAATGCACCCCCTCCACACAATATATTGATGCATGAATATAAACACGATATCAACATGAATGTACGCTTCAGAACTTCAGAATTCATATTAATTATATTTCTCCAAATAATTTGTTAATACATGGTCTGCAGTATAGTACTGTACTTCAAATTCTAGGAACTCCAGCCAAATCTTTGCAACCCTAGCAAACCTCGGTGAATTACAAATCATCAGTAACATCTTACAAAAAATGTAGTACCTATTTGGATGAATTAAAATTGTTAAAAACATACTTAAGAATGAGAAGTAAAACCTACATCTTATTTGAAAATTTTAATCTGTCAATTTAGAAATTATGTTTTGTCCATACAGTATTAATATTATTATTATTATTATCCATTCCCTCCAGAGGATCTTTATCCCTAGCTGGTTGCCACATGTTCAGTCTAAAAGATATTTTGAATATCTTCAAGTATAGCATTGTAGAAGTCTAGGAATAGTAATGTTTGCACATAAAAACAAACATTAATGGAAAGATTGAGGACTGTATGCACCAAGCACAAAGGTATCCGATTCACCAAGGATTCTATCGAGGGACAGGTGACAGAGACAGTCTGGAAGCAAGAAGTGCACACATCCTGGAAGTCAGGACATTTAACAAGGATATACACAACCATAAGAGCCGGTCGGCCGAGCGGACAGCACGCGGGACTTGTGATCCTGTGGTCCTGGGTTCGATCCCAGGCGCCGGCGAAAAACAATGGGCAGTTTCTTTCACCCTATGCCCCTGTTACCTAGCAGTAAAATAGGTACCTGGGTGTTAGCCAGCTGTCACGGGCTGCTTCCTGGGGGTGGAGGCCTGGTCAAGGACCGGGCTGCGGGGACACTAAAAGCCCCGAAATCATCTCAAGATAACCTCAAGAAGAGGGACAATAAGGAGCAGGGCGGCACTCCATTAAGTGCCTGCGAGTAAAACGTGTATGGCCAACTTTGCCTGAGCTGTTTCCCAATGCCGGTTGCAGTGGTAGGAGCAAGGGCATGGGGACACCCTTAAGAGTACGCAGTTTTTACCAATAACAGAAGACCAACAGGCACAGATGGAAGAATTAATTACTGTAGAAGTCAAAATAAGGAACACCTTTGTGGAAAATGGGACAAGTGCAAATGGTCTCCTTAGTGGCAGCATCTGCATGCTCCACATCATCAAAAGAACTATTAAAAAAAATTAAACCAGCCCCCTGCTAGTTAGCTCTACCTCCCCCCCCCCCCTTTGTTGGGAGGGAAGAGGCAGTCAATCGTCAGTCCTGGAAAATGAAAATCCACCGACCGTAGAGGAACCTCCAGGGATCACCCTGAAATTGTTGTTTCATTACATTCATCGTTGGTTTCTGAGGAAGCTCTGTTGGCTTCCTGAAGCTAACTACCCACAGAGAACAGAAAACAGGGGACTTACCAGGGAGGCAGAAACATAGTAGATACCAACCCAATGGCAAGACCGACAAGCGTGACAGGCGTTCCAGGGCAACCCAAGGCCACAAGAAATCAGGGGCAACGGCAATCTGCCAAACCCCTCGTGCCCAAATATCTGCCCAAGACACGAGTGAAAACAGCAGACAGCAGCAAACACGTGTAAACACAAACATAAGGAAAGACCGTAGGCTGACTAGGCCAAACAAAACGGCAGATAAATGACAGTCTTACTAGGCGAGTACAAGACACACGAGCCCTGGAACATGGACCCAGGGAAACTGGAACCCACAAAGTGTCCACCAAAGCAGAACCGAAGGGGATAAAGGCAGTGGTGGAAAACCGCCACTGGAAAAAGTGCGATATGAACATCCGGATGAACCAAGCCAGCAGCCACAACCAGAATATTTGGTTGTGGAAACTGGTTGCTTCAAAGGAGGAGCCAGCTGCCACCCAACACAAGCCCAATCAGAGCCAAGAAACAAAAACCACAAAAACAAACCCAGATTGAAGGCACCCCCAAAAATGAGCAGGAGAGAGAAAAGATGGAATGCCTCCGAGAGACTAGGCAAGCTCAGGCGGTGCAAGAACAGCCTGGAAGTGAAACAGCGCTAGAAGCTTATGAAATGGGGCTAAAGAAAATGGGAAACCTGAACACAAGCCGAACCTCACAAGAACACTTGACAGCTTTTGGTAAAAGACGCTGACCAAGAAACAGTCAAAAGAAAAGACAGAGCAACCTGATGGAAGCCAAGACAACAACGGAGGGATGGAAAATGAAGAAGACTGCCAACGTCCTGGTAACGTTGAGAGAACTACAGGTGGGAAATTTACAGTAATCAACCTGATCACCATAGAAAAGGTGATCATGAATCAACACGCTAGACGTGGAGAACAGAATCAACGAGGAACTCCACTCGCCTGACCTTTTGATAAAGGGGAAGCCACAAAAAATGCCCGGTTCTGACACCGTGCAAGCAGCACCTAAAACCAAGACCGAGCTGAACAGCTGCCAAGGAGCCAGAAGCACTCCCCTCCTGTAAGACTATTAGATGTGCCAGAAGCCAGAGCAACAGCTGGACCGGGGGTAAAGGATAAAGATACCCTCACTTCAATTAGTCGTGCCAAAAAGCATCCACCATGAAAATCTTGTAGTCGGGAAATGGCGGCATGTAAAGAGGAAGATGCCGAGACCAAACGGGCACGAAGAGGTCCAAATTCGACCGCCCAACGTCCTTCAAAGCCAAAGGAAGGAAATGGCATGGACAGTCCACTCTATGGAAAGGGGATTGAAGCAAGACTGACCAACTGCCAGAACGTTGGACACTCCCAGAACATGAACAGCGCAGAGAGCCAAACCCCGAGAACTCGGCAGAAGAGCTAGCCGAAGTGACCAGCTCCAGAGGCATGGACCAAAGAGCTCTGGAGCCAAACCTAACCCAATGGGTAAACCAGAAGGACAACGGTCAGGCCCTTGCATAGCTGCTTGAGCAATTGCCGAGTTATCCAGGTTATCCAGGTAACTGGTGTGGAAGCCCACACCAGTTAGTCATCGAGGTAGGCCAAGACCCGAAGACCTAGCAGACAAAAATGGGCCACTACGATTTGAGTCAAGTGTAAAAATGCAAGGTGCCAGATGCAGCCCAAAGGAAGAGCTCGAAAGCAGTAAGCCTGTAGCTCCACCACCACCCAACCAATCCCTGAACCCCGGATGCATGGGGGCGAGCCACAACCCGTTCTCGCAAATTCGTAAAGTCAATATTGACTTATTAACTACGTGCATAGGTGATATACTAAACATAATAGATACCCTTAAAAAGCTTCATAGAAAACACCGACCTTACCTAACCTTGTTAGTATCTTAAGATAAGCATCTTATTGCTTCGTAATTACAAAGCTATAAGATGCTTATCTTAAGATACTAACAAGGTTAGGTAAGGTCGGTGTTTTCTATGAAGCTTTTTAAGGGTATCTATTATGTTTTGTATGTCACCTATGCACTTATTTAATAAGTCAATATTGACTTTACGAATTTGCGAGAACGGGTTGCGAGCCAACAAGCATCTCCGAGGTCCAGGAAAAGCATGCAAATGCCTGGCTCGAGCACGAGCCAGACCTGGGACAATGTAGTCATCCAAAAGGAGGGGCAAGTAATCAACCAGTTTAGACAAGTCCAGAATGAACCAGAGATCTGCACCACACACACCTAGTAAGGTGAAAGGCAGAACTCCCCAGCAGGAAGCAAGCGTACTAGAAGTGAAAGCTCAAAACACCCTAGGCACAACAGCGGCAACCAAACAGCCCAGGAGAAACAATGGTGTGCCATCACTAGCTGAAGAGCAGGCCCCACCAACCATAAACACTCCCTAACCCAGAGCAAGACAGAAAGCCAAAGACCCCCAGCTTACCCCAAGGGCTGGGAAACCCCCCCATTCCCTGATGGGAGTGTTTCCGGAATGCCCCAGGAAAGGCAACTCTGACCACACAAGGGTAGTACCTACAAAGTGAACAGGGAAAAGAACCATAAGCACATGCAGCTCTAGTACAGGAAAACTTCCGTCTCTTGCACATCTCCGTATATAAACACCCCATTTAAAGTGTTCATGGGCCATTGCTTCCTGCGCCTTGGTGAGGGGGCTCATGGTCCCCGGTATGCAAACAAGAAGATATTCAAGGAGCTGATGGGGCTGTCCCCAGAAAAAATGTTGGAAAATATGGAGAAAGATTATCAAGAATACGTTGGCAATTCATAATGCCAACATAAAGACTTCTCAAAGAGTGGAAATTACTTTTTTTTTTTTTAAGAAGCATAGGCGATGCATATGGGTGAGTATATTAAGTATATGGGAGATGTGAAAGAATGAAAAGTGGAGTTTAAGCACAATACAATCAGGTAATATGAGCAAGCCAGAAGAATGCCTGAGAATTATTGAATAAGAATGCTGTACAAGGGTGAAATAAGGGGATCAAATGGTAAAGCAGACAACCAATATTTAGGGAGGGAGGAGTGGCACAATAAATGAAAGAAATTGGAGGAGGAAGATAAGAGATTGAAAAAGCAAAAGGTGATAAAGTCTTCTAGAGAAACTGTGGCCACCCCCTGATGGGGAGCTCCCAGAAAGGAGTAAGGTCTCAGTGTTGTAGATATCAAGTAGCAGTGCAAGTGTAGCTAGAGGAAAAATCAATCAATAGTTAAGGGGAAAAAAGTTATTTTATTCCCTACACTTAAGTGCTTCCAAGGAAAGCCTACCCAGATCAACTAGTTGACTAGAAATTTCATGATACACCAGCTTGTATTTAAAGCACCAATGTTTCAATCTGCATCTGATCATAGGTTTGTATTTTCAGTGAATTTTAAGAACGTTCAGTGACCTCACCATTTGTATTTTTCCCGTTTAGTTGTCTGTAAATCTCTAAGAATATTTAGTCAAAGGATGTATCGGTGTCATTTAAAAGTTGATAATGAATGAGAAATATAAGTTATCATAATTTATCCAAGGAGGTGCAGGTTACCTTCCCTTGCATTGGCTTCAAGGATCAACATCCCTATGGCTCGGTTTCCATTCCACCAAGTAATAGGATCAAATCTCAATGCAAGTAATAGAATCAAATCTCATGAACATGGGTTAAATGCCTAGTTTTGGAATGGAATATAACTCGACAAGCTAGAAAATCAGACAACTATCCCTGCACTATGTTTACTCTATCTGCTGTACTTGAAAGAGTGCAGGCATTATTAAAGGAAATCAACAAATCTAATCATGGTTCGTGAACTTGGAAACCTACACACAATATAACTTAAAATATATTCTTCATAATGTAAATGGCACGGCTGACCAGTTTTATATATATAAACAAAAAAGGAACATCAACTTCACCTTATATTTAAAGAGAGCATCAATAGTGGGACTAAACTCCTTACAAAATACTCGAGGAGTACCCTTGTAAATTTTCCCACTCCCATGACTTCATATTACTTGAGAAATTTATTCCTGGTCTCAAGCAGAAATAAAATGCATCACTTGTTGGAGTATCACTATATAGCAAAAACAGTTATGAACAGTGGCCAATTTTATAACACAAGGGGCACTAGTCATGCCTAGATACGAGGTGCACTTCGGTCATTTGTATCCGTTTTCTTCAGCTTGTTTTTCTTAAATCCACCAATAGCAGAGAGAAGTGCAGTACGTTCTTCACCCGCATCCTGGAACTTACTGGAAAAAGGATCATCTGGGAAAGATGCAACAGTAGGAGATAAAGGAGTTACAGGTGTTGGTGGTGGTGGCGGAGGTGGTGGTGACAACGTTGGAGATGGAGAGGAGCTTGTTTGCCCATCATCATCATTACCATTTAGAGTATCACCTGTCAAAAAAATAAAAACTTTCATTGGAGCCAAAATTAACACGTAACAGTAATGCATAATATTTTACTCATAAATAAAGCTTTCGGTTTATTTAAAGGCATTCCTAAGCAAACAACTTTGTTGCTCCTTAAAGCATGTGCCTCCTAGGGGCCTAACAGCTGAGTGGACAGCGTTTCAGATTCGTAGTCCTGAGGTTCCGGGTTTAATCTTGGTGGAGGCAGAAACAAATGGGCAGTTTCTTTCATACTGATACCCCTGTTCATCTTGCAGTAAATAGGTACCTGGGAGTTAGACAGCTGTTATGGGCTGCTTCCGGGGGGGGGGGGGGGGGGGGACAAAAAGGAGGTCTGGTTGAGGACCGGGCCGTGGGGACGCTAAGCCCTGAAATCATCAAGATAACCTCAAGATAAGATAGCCTCAGAAAAAGTATGCTTAGAGCATGGTGGCAATTTGCACTGGTGCAGCATAAATATTGTCACTGTCCTTTCCAGGCAATGCTGCTGCTGCCAGAAATATCATAGCAAATTTTGTCACGCTTTTCCAAGGATGCCATGTAGTACTCTAACAGTCCTGTGAAGCAGTAGTAAATGCAGTTGGGTCACAGCCGAGAGGTCTCTGGTTCGATTCCTGAAGCAGGACAAATGTTTGGGTAATATTGTATTTGCTTTCAACAGATGCCTCAGTTCACCTAGACAGTAAAATAGGTAGCTCTGAAGGTAAAGAACTGTTGTGGGTTACACCTTGGGGAAAGGTTCATAGGGGGACCTCAATAACTCTACCAGGCTTACTGTTCCTAACTATGGGAAAGGAAGGGAACTAGCAAGAGAAAGTGCCGAGCTCTTACAACTATAAAGCACTTCGAAGGAATCAGGACAAGGACAAGGATTTGGGATGGGGGGGGGGGAAGGTGTCCAACAATTTGAACGGTTGAAAATGGGACGCTGACCTGCATGAAGCAAAGGCTATCGCTCTACCGTTCAGCACAAGTGACTATGGAACACGTAACCAAACTGCCAGTTACCCCTACTTGGCCACTAAATTAGACCATCATCAGGCAGCAGAATCTGAAAAAAACAGGGTTGAGCTACCTCATAATTGACATGTAGCCCTACAAAACCACCCAAACCTAAGAAAGAGGGAACAACAGATGGTCCTGGGAACAAGTGTGACTTGCTCAGAAAAGTAAAACCCCAATATCTGAGAAATGCAATATCAGGTGATACCTAAATCAAGTCCTAAGTGGAAGACAATAACAATAAAAATAAAACAAAGAGGTATTATCTTGAGATTATCTTGAGATGATTTCGGGGCGTTTTAGTGTCCCCGCGGCCCGGTCCTCGACCAGGCCTCCACCCCCAGGAAGCAGGCCGTGACAGCTGACTGACACCCAGGTACCTATTTTACTGCTAGGTAACAGGGGCATAGGGTGAAAGAAACTCTGCCCATTGTTTCTCGCCGGCGCCTGGGATCGAACCCAGGACCACAGGATCACAAGTCCAGCGTGCTGTCCACTCGGCCGACTGGTACAGCGTAACCTCGGTACCTAAACTTAAATGGTTCCTGAAGGCCGGTCAGGTGCCAATCTGTTCGAGTACTGAACAATTTTTTCCCATAAGGAGTAATGTAAATTGGATTAATCCATTCTAGACCACAAAAATAAATATATTAATGTACTGTACTGCACCTTTGAAAAATGGCAGACAATTGGCGTGGGACTATACTACTTGCATATCCAGCCTGGCAGCCACATACATCAACCTCTCTGTTGGCCAAGTAGGAGTCATAGCAACACACAGAGAAAGAGACAAGTCAACCGAGTACAGGGAAATAGATCACTGGTACAATTTCATTCCAATAGGATCTGAGATCCTTGGACCATGGGGAGAGAGTGCAAGGAGGTTTCTTGAGAATCTTGGTTCCAGGCTCATTGAAACTAGAGATCTTAGAGCAACAAGTTTTCTTTTCCAGTGCCTCAGTGTAGCAATGCAGAGGGAATGCCTGCTACATCCTCAGTTCCTACCCGGCGTCAGAGTTCGGAGAAATCTACAGACTCTAGGAAACAAACTTCCCTTTATTTCCTCTTAACCACTGCTGCGTAAACCGAGAAAACTTGGTCGGTGGGAAACTGCGCCAACCGAGAAAACACCTTTTGAATATTTCGTACCCATTCAAAATGTGTGCGCAGTAGGTTGTGTATGAAATAGGCTCTTGGGACCTTCATCTTGGAAAAAAATTCCCAGAATGTCCTAGGGCTGTTGGTTGGCCTAGTACTGAGTGAGCAACCATGGGTAGCGCATGCACCTCTGGCTCCCAAACACCTGTCTGACTTGGTGTTGAAAGATCACTCTCTGATGTTGATGAAATTCAGACCTAATTGTTTGAAGAACATAAGGGTCATAATATTGATGAAGCTAGGCACAATAAGGACCTAACACAAGGGTCAGAAGCAAGTAATACAGCACCAATGAGGACGATGCAGTGAGCAAGCATATCCAGTAGTATCTGAGCGCCACCCATGTTATCTCAAATTTTTATAGATGAAACATAGATGAATCGTTTAGTGGGTTCAGTGATGATGCATCTGATACAAGTAGCAGAGATGAGCAGTGTTAGTGGCTTCTTTGATGGTGTTTTCCATAGATCTTTTCAAGAATAACTAAATCTCTTCCAGAATACCTTACAAAGCAATATTTTCAAGACTACCTTACAAATTGATCTTTTCCTATAATCTTTTCAAGACTACCTTACACTTCACAAGCTTGGCTACATAACACCTACAGATACTAAAGCCAAGGGTGTACACGAATGCGTTATTTGCAAGCACACAGAATGAAGAAACAGGAAGCTAAACAGTATCTGTACCTGGTGCATCGAGAGTGAAGTCGCACTGGACTGCTTCGTTGATTATCACTCACTTCTGAAGTACTGTGTGTGTCGTGTAATACAGTGTGTTAATGTGTAAACAGTGTGTGAAACTGTACATATTGTAATTTTAGTGAATTTTGAACAAGTAATATTGTGACAAACATTTATTGTGGACACATTACTGACAGATGCATCACAATTCCATGGAACATTATGACCTTTCTACTGTATACATATTGTAAAGGACACAAATATGCATCATATACGATAAAAAACAAAAATAAAAACCGCATTGGAAATACATCAAATTTCTATTGGCTTCAACATTAAGCATGCAGGTAACAAACTTCTCATACAGCAAAGACATATCAAGAAAAGCCAAAACAAGATGACACTACCAGCAAAGGAGAGGGGGATCTTGGGCAGGTACCAGACTCAAATGTATGGGTCAAATTTCCCAAGTCTTGAGTTGAGAAAGCACATGAAGGCGCAAATTTCCACAGAATGTCAGCACAATGATAAGAATGGGATTTAATCACCACTCTACCCCCTTGACATCATTGTATCTGGCATAACTCTTCACTGTTTGCATTACAATAGTGAATTGAAACTAGCTACACATGAAGCTTTTGATTCCATGTGGATGCAAAAAGGACCTAGGGAATGCTGAGCATGTTGAAAATCTACAGGAAAGTCTCGTCTACCACCCATCTGGACCCCATCTGTCTCAGTACACAGCTTGTCAGACGGCATTGGTGGTTTACATGGGACTAAAGCCTGCAAACCGACCCGAGCAAATTCATGACAAACAATTTCTCACAGCTACGTGAGCATAAACAGTGATCTATGTCCAGAGACCAGGGCTAATCTCGATTAAAGGGGGATACACAATGTATGCAAAACTGAGACTACTATTGTGCCTCTTAGGTCTCCAATAAGTGAGGAGGCATCCTGTCCCTGATAATTGGGTTTTTCTTTAAGCTTTGACTAGTCACGGTAGCATTATAGGAACTGTGGAAGAATACTCTCGTGATGAACATAAATACCGGGGATGACGCAGCATTGCGTCATCCGTTTACTGGCGGTAATACCGAGGATGACGCAGCATTGCGTCATCCACTTTAAATAATCGCCAAAAATCAGGTTTTTTTCCGATTTTTGGGGGACTGGTTTTAAAATGTGCGCTGATGTCTTCCTATTTTCTTTGTTGAGCCTCGTGGCCCTCAGGCGGCTTGGCACATGCCGTGGGCCCATTGTCTTTGCTCCACTGTTGTGACCAATGTCGCCTCCCCTCGCATCTCAAACGTGTGAACATTTCGGCTATTTTCCGTGGCTATATTTCTTACTGCGGCTTTAGAAACTATCTACGCTTACTCCACGATGGATAGTAATCATGAACAAGGCCCTTCCAGGAAGAAAATTGCGAAAGAAAGGCTTGAAAAGGGCGGGAATTGGGAGTGTAGCAGGAAGGCGTCTGAGCGCTCACTCACGGCTAACGCGTGGCCCGTCTTCAACTCGTCGGCGGTTGGAGCGTGACCAGGTTTTTTATTTTATATGCTAATGTTCCTCTAGAGAATTTTATTACGAACCCATTGAGACCAAAATGAAAGACCTAGGACAAAAATTGAGGTGACCAGAGTGAAAATAGTGAAAACATTTTATCCCGTTTGCGCGCTCCCGGGTAACTCGTTCGCACTTTCTCTGTTTGCTGCGGGTAATTAGCCGGGCTTTTGGAGTTTATATGCATTTAGTGCTGTAGAGAATTTTATTGCGAACACAATGATACCAAATTTAATCTCGTAGAAGGAGAATTGAGGTGACAAAGTTGAAGAGAGTATACACTTTTCGGAATTAACGCACGCTCCCGTGACACGCTGGGGCCCATATCGCACAGTTGAGGGGTGGCGCGCGGGGTGAGCGAAAGTGTTAAGGGAAACAAAAAAAATCTTATATTAAATAGTGCATAATAAAATAAATCACTAAAGACAATTTATATGTGCAACATATAAAATAACCAGCGGTGAATGTAATGAAACGCCATTTTCTGGGCGAGACCCAGAAGCTCCCCGGAGCTTATCCAGGCTGATATGCTAATGTCTGACTTTGGCATCAGTCATGTGTATAGAGTTCTGTG